AACTTACTAATAGAGTAACTTATTCAAAATAATACAATAGAATTACACCCCTCTTGGTTATCTCTCATAAACCTCCAACAATCATGAATCCGCTGACCTTCTTTGTCTGAAGCCATCCTCAACGATACACCATCAATATCTAAACAAGATTGGGGGGGGAGGGAGGTCAGGAGGAGGTAGCAACACTGACTAAAATTAAACCTAATTAAATACTTATAAAAGATTAAATTAATTTTTCTCTCTCTGTCTCTTTCTCCCCACTTTCGTCTTCCTTTTTAAAAAAAAATATTTTTCCTCTTTCTCTCTCTTCCTTTCTCTTTCTCTTATCCTGCCTGTGGGCCCCAGTTGGCTGTGGCATCTCAGTCCCTGCCCTGTGTGGTTCGGATCAGTTGGGGTGATGTGGGGCCGAGGACCTTGTACCTCCTGCTTCTAACAGCTTTGCCCTGGATTTCTTGCCTCTGGCTGGTTCAGCACTACATGTCTTGCTTTTTTGATGCTTCACATATAACATGATATACATACATTTATTGGAACATAAACAAGGGAAAGAAGAGAGGGAAAGGGGAAAAAACTAATTACTTAACTAATCATACATACATGCACACATACTTACCATGCATGTATGTATGTATGTATGTATGCATGCGTGACGTGGGCATGGGGGCCTGGGCTTTGCACTGGGCTGGTTCCACGCTGCACGAAACAAAAATAAATAAAATAGGGTAAGCGTAGCATGTGTGTCGCGGCCGGGGGTGGGACTTTGGGCCCTGGGCCCCGCAGCACCTCTCCTTGATGGCCTGTCGTAGTGTGACATGGGCGGGGGTCTAACTTATGCCTTACAATACCTTACCATTTATAGCTTTATTATTATTATTATTATTATTAATATTGTTGTTAGTGTCGTTATTATTACTAATACTACTATTTGTTTATTTACTATTTGTAATCTTCCAACTTTCCCCTTATTTCTGATTAATTGAGTTCATTATTATTATTATTGCTAGCTACTACTATTAAAATTAATTGTCACCTTCCTCATTCACTTTCCTCCAACTTTTGTTATTAACGCAGCAATTATTATCATCATTATCATTATTATTACTATTATTGTTATGTCTGCTGTACTTTTTTACGTTCCTTTGTTTATATACTTCCACCCCCCACACCCAGTTAAACTAACACACACACACACACACACACACAAATCATGTTGGCTGTCATGAATGTTTTGTTGACCTTGGTCATTTTATATTTGATTTGTCATCTGTAAATAGTATATCTGTTTGTATAAAAAAAATTAAATAAAAAGTAGTTCATTTTTATATTTTACAAATATTATTTACACAAGACCTTGAAGAGACATTACAAATTGATTTTGAAGCAAAATAATATTTGAAAATCAGAAAGAGGTAAAAAGGTGTAGCCGAATGGAGAAACTACTTATCCTGTGAAGTATTTTGAACAAAATAACTCAATGTATATGTATAATATAAAACTACTAAAATCTTGTAGTTACTGATAACAAGTCACAACCCATGCAAAGCTTCACTGGTGTGTAGGTATTGCTGAGCAATTTAGGATTATGGCTAGGATAATTATTCACAAGGAATTTATCTTTTTTTTCAGAAAAAAAAGGTAAAAGAAAATATGTATACACCTAAGAGTTCATGGTTGATCAATATTCAAAGGGCTTATACATTAATGCTAAAAATGTATTTCACCATGGAGAAAAACAATAGGAGTTTTTTTTTTAACCTGTTGCACTCAATATGAACAAAGACAAAAGTCAGTAGCATCTGATATTAAAGTGAACTTAATTAACCGTGAAGATAGATTTTTCCCACATTTCTCATACCTGGGTTAACTTTTTGCTTTTGTGTAATTCCAAATACATTTAGTTGATATTAAACAACATAAATGACTTGCAGGTAAACTAGGTAAGTTTGGGGAATGAGAAATTTTCCTCCTACGGTCACCACGTAGAGAACAAGCGTAACTGGAGTCATGTGATCATAGAACCAGTGTGTCGACTAGTGGCAGAACTAAATGATTAGATGTAAAGTGCAAAACCCAAACAACACCCCTTTTGGTTTTACAACTCACTGTCTACACTTTTCTCCACTTTTGCATTTTTTTCTCTGAATGGCTCACAAAGGTGTGCCACTGTTAGTTCTATTGTGTCGGTCTTCCCTCCCTGACACCTTCATATGACTCTTATAACAGTAACACCTCATGATTATGACAAGCTATTTTACTCAAAAATATGATGTATGGTTATAAAAGTAATCAATAGACTGATCAATATGATGATTATTCCAATACTGGACGTCTTACAGACTGAGAGTTTTAGGGCTTTTTAGGGCTCTTTCCACTGGACTGTACCAGTGAACACAAGTCAACTAATGAACTTTGGGTTATTTCTGCAATATGACAGTTACAACACAAATAAGCTTGATGTATGTCCAACGTGAACACCTCCAACCAATAGAAGGCGGCAGAATAAAAGTTATTTTGAAATGGCTGATTAAGAAGTTAAGAATTTAGTCAGGTGGACCATTCATTAATTGTGGCAAACTAGATAAGTGAGACCAATAAAAAAAATAAAAAAAAAACTTATTACCAATTTTTGGTTAAAAAAGATTGATAAGAACAAGGTATAAGTATAGGTGCTTGGGTGGACAAAGACTTGGATGCGGTGACTATCATCTCGGCTTTGTTGCTCTGTACAATAAAGTCTTATTTTGCTATCTGGAACTCTGCTTCTCGAGCTTCACTGAGAAAACCATTGCTTGCTCCGACAGTTGTGACTTGAGTCTTGATAAAGAAGTAGTCAGATAATTGTGTTGCAGTGACCAAGGAGAACAGTGACAGAAGTGCTGAGGGATGACAAAAACATGAAATTACCATGCTGTTTTCGTCTTGCATGATGATGAGCTCAAGTGTTGAGACTGTGGTGACGGAGCCTCATCGTTGAGTCTCTTTTCTAGTCCTGAGACGCAGTCCACTCTTTCTGTTTGCCGCACTTATTTCTAAAGCATCACAACAGTGGAACAAGCAGGTCATTGGTTAACCACTTCACTTGAATTTACTAAGGATGAACAAAAGGATAGGAAAAGGTTAAACAAAATTATAGCTTGCAATTTAAATATGAAAATGAGTTAATAAATAACCTTTATGCAGTAATTGTCACATTAACTGCATACCCCTATTAGGAACAGTCACAAAACATGTAATAGTGCATAATAAAGACAAGCTATGCATAAGCAAAGCAGTTAAGTGTCAAATTATATAAGAGTACTAATCAACATATTAACTTTTAAAAAAGTGAACTTTTAAGTTAAAAAGCTATAATAAATGTCTGCTTGACAATACTTTAGCATCTGCTCTCCAACATTTCCTAGTCTACCAAAAACACAAATCTTGATCGAATAATTACGGGGATAGTGATTAAATGAATGATTAAAGGGACTCAAAAATTCTCATATCGTTCTAAACCCATATCGTTCAAAAGAAAGTATTTTGAAGAATACTGTGGCGACCAAACAACAACATAGCCCACCAAGACATTTCTCAAAAGATCTCGAAATAATATCAGACAGGTTTGGAATGACATGAAGGTGAAGAAATGATTCTGAAAATGAATATTTCAAAATAACGTCTTGATCATAATGTTTCCATTTGGTACCTGTGTGAGAAGTAGGTAGTACTGTAACTGTATTGTAATAATACTGTCATGTGCTTTTGAGTGTGTATCTCTTATCAAATCTTCTCGTTCACGACCACTGAATGATGTATTAACAGGTGTAAGGCTGTGATTACAGTACTGACTCGCGTGTAAGCTTTTATTAATTTCACATGCTGACTTACCAATCTTTCATTGAGCTAAAGGACAAATCAACACAACATAAACGCCTAGCAAAAAATACAATAAAAATAAATAAATCTAATCCGAAATGAAATCGAAAGCCTTGAATTAGTTCTCACACACTGATGCCGTGTACGGTGAGAATATAATATTGTCCGTGTTTGATTAAACGCGGTTCTGTCGTCAGGGCATTTAACGTTACTAATAGCGGCGAATAGGATAATTAACTCGCAAACTGTTCACCTACACATCGAAGCGTCGAGCTCACTAACGGGCAGCACTGCGTTGAAAGCCGGTAGAATTTGTTTTCTAATATTTTGCTTGGAGATCAAACTTAGTATGGAATTAGATGTTTTAACAGAAGTATAACCAGTTTTCTCGTCGTTTTAATGTGTTATAGTCTCGACATTCAGCACTACTGTACCGAGAAGAGATCAAACAACGGCAGTCTCACATCTCAAGCGGAAAAACAAGCCATAACCGCAGTCAACCAGATTCCCAGCTAAATTCTCAAAACACAACAGACGAAACCGTACTAATTCTTCAGGAGTTAGTCATTAATTACGTTGCCCAGCAGCCGCTCTGTTAGAAATGTAACGTTACGTTCCCAGACACTGGTGCGGTTTTGTGTACGTCGTCGACGTAAATTGCGGCTAGCTGGGCTATGCTGCTATCTACGCGCAAACCCGTCAAATACATTGCATTAAAAGGGTATTTTACTATCTTATACTTCAGACACAGATGAAAATTATAGAACTAAAATACACACTAACCTAAACTCGTCTGAGGGGAAACGTGCGGTGAGGCTGTGAAAGCATCTCCTTCAGGCGTTGTTTCTAAAACACCGATGTTTGTGTGACATTTCCATGCCGGACTGCGCCCGAGTTTCACCATCGCACTGACTGTTCAGACCTATCAATCGGTGCTAGCGTGTTCCCGGTCGGTCGAAGAACCAATCAGAAGCTCGCCAAGTATGAGAATGTCCCGCCCCTCGGGTAAAGTCAAAGATTTCAGCCAATTAGAACTGTTCAGCGCCAGCGTACTGACCAATTGTGTTTCAGGAGGGAGAAATGCAACCAATAGCGAGGCCGCGAACAGCCGTCTTTGTCCCCGTGTGAACTTCAAAGTTTTCATTGGTTTATGTGGAGCCCCGTGGTTTGAATATTGAATCTTGCGTGAAGCAAAATAGCGGCACTCTTTAAAATTGTGTATCCAGTAAACGTGCATGCGTCAGAATAGTTGTAACATTCGCCAGAACACCAGGTTGGATTATCATCCAGCCATAAAGTCTTTATTTTAAAACACATGTATCAAACACAGGCGCACATACTAGCGTATGTGTGTATATAAGACAAAGACAATTATTGAAGAGTAAACAATTATTCAGAGAAGCCCTTTCAGACGGGCAGAAGAAATCAATTAAAATCAGTGAAATCACTCATCAACAGATCATGTATAAAGTTCAAAGTCTATTCTCTTTGAGTTGTAGAAGGGGGCACCTTCTTGGTCAATCCTCCTACAGTACACTCCATCCTTGAAGTAGCCTTCATCCACCCAGTCCTGGAATAAAAGATACAGCCACATTTACTTAAATTAGGGCTGGACGATATGGCCAAAATTTATATCACGATATATATTTCGCGCGATACATTTTGATATTGAATTATTGTCCAGCCTCAACTTAAATGTATTTACTTACTTGCATAAACGTTCACAAAAAAAAAAAAAAAAAGAATTTATCCTTAATCAAAAATACTTGAACATCAAATAAAGGGCAAACATTTACTCAACGGTGATGCATGTAATTTTTTGCTACTAGAAGCACCAAACGTAAACGCAAAAATGTTTTTAAACTGGTTACCAAACCACTCTTCCCCATCTACTATTAACCGCCACTAGTTAAAGGGGTCCTATTATGCTTTTTCAATTTTAGTTAGTCTGTAATGTTGCTGTTTGAGCAAAAAAAAAAAAATGGGACGAGACCTGGTTGAGCTGCACTAGAGAAGGCAACGTTATCAATCACTATGTCAGAGACACGCTAGCTTTCCCAAGACAGACTAACTTAGAGTGGTTACAATCATCCGGGTTTAAATCGCGCTCAAATTGATTTGATTTTGATGCAATATTTACACAGAAGCTATGTTAAGGGGCATGACATTTCCCGACCAGGCGCCGAGTGCTGCCAATCACAACACACACCGGGCCCAGCTAACCAATCACAACACACACTGGCCCAGCTAACCAATCACAACACACACTGGCCCAGCTAACCAATCACAGCACACACTTGCCCAGCTAACCAATCACAGCACATTTCGTATTTCAGAAGGCTGGCCTGCATTTGATACAGGAACTATTCGAGTCGTTCATGCCAGACTGGGGAGAGAGGTGTTGTAATAATGTAAAATATGTGAAAAATAATGTGTTTTTCGAACAAGTATGACATCTACTTGTTCTAAGTACACCCCCAAAACAAAATCAAGACTTTGTAAAAGAGCATAATAGGACCCCTTTAAGTCAATGCCTCTAAGTCAGGCCACTCCAAATAAATAAATAAATAAAACAGCAATAATGAATCTATTAGTGTTTTTTAAAACCATTTTAATTTAAGAAATAATGTGTCAATTACTTCTGAAACGTAAAGTTTCATATTAAAGCACCGATAATGTCTTACTTACCTGCATCTGTTGGCTACTGAAGGGCCCATAAAGCTCAGAGTTTTCCTCATTGTCCCATTTGTACTCCCACATGACCTCATCACTGACTAGAGAGAAACACAAAACACATGACTGCTATTACTAAGGGGTCAGCCATGAATCAAATAATCATAAAAGACGACTGGCAATAACATTTTCAGGACTCATTCCAAAAAGTTGCTACACTACTACTAACAAAAGTTCATATTTAAATTGTATCTAATCATGACAACTTTAAAAAAACACATCCTTGTCCAATCACTTACTTCTGCTGTTGTCTTTATCCTCATCCTTTTCTGCAGCATGCTTCTCATCATACTCTTCAGCGAACATGTCTAGCTCATCTTTTTCCTCTTCATCATCCTCTAGTGTTCTGGCTGCCTTTCCTCGAGTCATCCCCTTCAACTTGTAGGCCAGTTTTTCATAAGTCTGCTGATAAATTTCAAAATCTCCAATCCCCACCAGTCTATCTGCCAATGCTGTCAGTTTGTCCAGTTTACCAGCATCTCTGTTCGAAGTCTCTTTTTTCTCCTCCTCCCCTTCTCTCAGTCTCCCTTTCTTCTTCTGTCCTCCAAGACCGCCAAGTCTTCTCAGAGCAGCAGCCACTGTTTCTCCAGGCAGCATCAGCTCAATGACGGCTTCTGTGAGCTGATAATGGCTGTACGTAGCCAGAGGGTCTTCTGCAGGTCCTTTCTCCTCCTCTTCATCTTCCTCACTGTCTTTCCGCTGCTCCTCACGTTTTATTTCCTCTTCTGCTTCGTCTTCATCACCAATTCTTCTCTTCCGCTTAGCTGCAAGGCCTTTCTTCTTTTTCATGGGCTGCTCTTTTATCTTCACCTGTGTGAAGAGATATAGTGCGATCAATGATATGTGACCCTGGACAAAAAAAAACAGTCATAAGTAGACGGGTACATTTGTAGCAATAGCCAACAATACATTGTACGGGTCTAAATTATAGATTTTTCTTTTATGACAACAATCATTAGGATGTTAAGTAAACATCATGTTCCATGAAGATATTTTGTAAATTTCCTACCATAAATATTTCAAAACTTAATTTTTGATTAGAAATATGCATTGGTGAGAACTTCATTTGGACAACTTTAAAGGCATTTTATTTTTCATTCAATATTTGTTTTTTGTTTTTTTGCACCCTCAGATTCCAGATTTTCAAATAGTTATATCTATTTGTAAAAATATTGTCCTATCCTAAAAAAAAAAACATACATCAATGGAAAGCTTATTTATTCAGTTTTCAGATGATGTATAAATCTCAATAAAAAAAAACTGACCCTTATGAGTGGTTTTGTGCTCCAGGGTCTCTTAAAATAGGGTCTCTTTCTTAAATATTTGAACTTCAAGCTTAAACTTAGATTATCAACTATTTCTCAAAATCCATGCAATAAAATGTACCCAGTCGATATTGTCCAGCCAGTTGTCTCTGATATCTTTCTCTTTGTTGACAAAATAGTTTCCCTCTGAATCAAAGTGTCCCTCCTGCATTTCCTCGACGAGATTAAAAGGGGTAATGCGTACACCCTCCTCATAGTCAATAGTTGCCATTTCCTGACCTGTAAACACAAAGAAAGTCTAAGCTAAGTAATATTTTAAATTATGTAAATCATAAATAAAACACAAGCAATCTAGTTTAAAATTACTTTGTCATTTCTCAGCCTTTTAAATAGCAGGCACTACAAATGTCTAGAGGAAGAGCCAAAAAACCATTCTGCAATGTGCATAACATTTCTTTTATTATCTGCATGAGGCCAAATTATTATTCACAGACCTTCCACATCGTCACTGGCAAGGATGTCATATTTGCTGCTATTTTCTCCATCCTCTCCTTCATCTTCCTCATCACTGTCCAAAGAGTGTTTCTCCTTAAATCTGCATCCTGGGCCACTCACACCATCAACAATCTGGAAAAAGACATTGGATAGAGCAGAACAGAGCATGTGATTTCACAGAACAGCACAATCTATTACAACAGAATAACAATATGCATGGTGATGCAACAGAACACTTTGACAACATTAAAGAGTTCTATGGAACCGACCTTCTTCTTCGGAACATCTTCCAAAGTAATCTCCCCATCTCCATCCTCAAATGTCACTTTCCTCTTCGACATGCTAAAAGAGGCATAAGACAGTTGACTACAGTTTTGTTGTGCGTGTATAGTGTACTCATCTAGTATACACTGTCAAAGTTGGTTACACTTTATTTTGATAGTCCACTTTAAACATTCTACTAACTATGAGTAAACTTTGCAACTACATGTCAACTAATTCTCATTCATTTGCAACTACATGTCTACTAATTCTCAGAGTAGACTGTTAGGTTAGGTTTAGGGTTAGTAGAATAAGTTGACATATACTTGCAAAGTTTCTCATAGTGAGTATGATGTATGTTGTGGACCCATCAAAATAAGATGTTAGAAGATATTAAGCAAACAGTCTACTAATACTCTAATGAGTGCTAGTTGACATGTAGTTGCGAAGTTACTTACTGTTAGTAGAATGTCTGAAGTGGACTATCAAAATAAAGTGTTACCTGAAAGTTGTATACTCTTAACATAACTCTGAGACTCCATAACAGATTGAATTCATGAAACCTGTGCATATGGAGTGGTTTAAGGTTTAAAGCAAATTAGCGAGACTTCGTATAAATCCAAACGAATAGCAGTTGACTAGAGGGCACACAACTGCATGCCTACACAGCATAAACGCTATGGCAAGCCGTTGTAACATTTAATCTGTAAGCCGTACTAGTATCTATTTTCAAAATCCAAACCTTATGGTTTTCAGTCAAACATTTTCTTTATTTGGAAAACAAAGGCCAAAAATTATTAATAAATTAAAAAAGAAACAACAGGTTTGCTGTACTTGTAGGGCCGCCCTGATAAATAAGCACTAGTATCTAATCAATAAGTACTAGTATCTAATGAATAAGTACTAGTACCTGATAAATAAGCACTAGTATCTAATCAATAAGTACTAGGATCTAATCAATAAGTACTAGGATCTAATCAATAAGTACTAGGATCTAATCAATAAGTACTAGGATCTAATCAATAAGTACTAGGATCTAATCAATAAGTACTAGGATCTAATCAATAAGTACTAGGATCTAATCAATAAGTACTAGGATCTAATCAATAAGTACTAGTATCTAAAAAATAGATACTAGTACGGCTTATAGATTAAATGTTACAACGGCTTTCCATATAAACGCCACCTAAAATTAGATATTAAAGAATTGGGCCTATACTTTAAGCACATCTTCAAAACTGTGATAATATATAACAACCTAATACAAACAAAATTTGATCAAGTATCACATTTCATTGTTCAGTATGTACACCACTGCTGTGCAATGCGCGAGCTAATGCTGCGAGCGTGTGCGTACGTCTAAGTGTGCCAGCCTTATATCTATGTCGCCAGCTAGCTAACGAATATAAAACCCGTATATAAAATACACTTTAGCTCGACCTACACAGACGCTTAATAGACTGGTCAGATGTAAAACAAACAAAAAGAAAACACAGATAAGGAATGAACCCATGGTAAAATGTTTAGTTACCTGGATGTTATTCTCCCCGCTGCGCCATTCAAGCACGCTAAAACCGGAACAACGTCATTCGCGAGATTCTGCCCGACTCTCTATCGCCACCTGCAGGTCAACCGGATTAATGACACACGCTGCGATTGAAGCACTTCTGTGACCTGACGTCCATCACTTGATCTGCTCGGAAATGTTTCTAATACCTTCTGATTTACGTTTCCAAATGATTGTTCTGTTGTTTTCAGATGAGTGTCTGATGTTACAGATAACACTGGCTTTTATGCGTTCTGGGAACATCTCACTCTTTGGATAGAGAAAAACCTCTTTATTGTAATTATAATGCGTCTCTATGAAAACTAAATACAGAAAGGTGTATTTGAGAAGCAGAACAACTGTGCAAAAGCCAGCATTTGCAAACGCACTGTTCTGATATAATGTATCTAGTAAATATTTGATGACAGCCAGAATTAGAAACATGAATCGATAATATGCAGAGTGTCTGTGTTTATTTATTCATAAGCGCTTACTTCCCTCATTTTTTTTTGTCTATAGATAAATTCATTAATAGCCTGTTTGTTGGGGCTGTGAAAGCGCACATGTCGCTGCTGTTTCATCATGAAGTCTAAAGAGAACAGGGCATCGGCTTTTGTTACCAGGAAGTGCGTCGCGTTATTTATATTTCAACACTTGCGAGACCGGCGTGACGGCGCGCGCTGGTAACACGAAACTTGGAATATCACTCTGCTCTTTATACGATTCCCCGGGATTGAGGAGCTTGGCCTGAAGTGATGTTTTGCCACTAAGGTTGTATGGATATCCACGATAAATCAACGGAAAGACACTGACAAAAGTAAGTTGCTGCACCTGACAAACACTGAGCCGGTCTGGCAATGTTCCGGTCATGCCACCGTTTCCTTGTTTATCCTTTTAAAAAGAGCATATAGCTGCTTCAAGCACACATACTATTTACGTGGCAACATATACTGTCTAGCACACTGACAGATACCGCGTGAACCGGATAGACAAGTTATTCACGTATGATTTCATACTTGCCTAGAATGAAATGCACGGGGTTGGGTTTTTTTTTTTCAAAAAAAAAAAAAAAAAATTGACGATGGCAAATTAGATTCATCCATGGGTTGTCATTTCTGTTCATGTAAAGCTCGCGCCAGGACACGGCTGCACGCCAGGTGGCGTTGTAATGAAGATCCATGAGAAGATTCTAACCCATTACCTGTCCTGCACTTCACCTGTCGATAAAGAGGGATATCTTTACAAAAAGGTAAGGACCTGAATGTGCCAATTTACCAAGATATAATCAAACTAATCTAGAATGCTAGTTTGAAAAGGCTGAATCTATCTAAGTCTCCTTTATTTGTATAGCTACTATACACTTTATACAATACAGATTGTGACAAAGCAGCTTTACAGTGTTAAACAGGTGAATAGTGTGTCGATAATGCGGTTAGACAATATAGTAAACAGTCCAGTTTTCAATTAAAGTCAGTTCATTCAGTGTTGTCATCGCACAGCTCAGCTCAGTTCAAATAGTATCTGAATCAAGCCGACAATATTGGCAGACATTAAGTGTCCCCAACTAAGCATCCCAAAGGACGACAGTGGCAAGGAACCAAAACTCTATCGGTGGCAGAAATGGAGAAAAAACCTTGTGAGAAACCAGGCTCAGAAACAGTTTAAGAGTGTTGCGAGTGAAACTGCCTCACATGTCAGATTTGTTTACCATGCAAGCCAGGTTTAGGAAAGTGAAGTACATTATATCTGAGACATCTTATCTTCTTCATGCTGCATTGCAGACTTTACCTTCAGGATCCTTGTATAGAGCTCTTTACACACACACAAAAAAGCAAATAGATTTATATTTTAATTTTTTGTTTCAATATGCTATTTACATGCTCAAATCAAATAGGAAAATGTACAATTTTAGGTTACTGTACACTTTGAAATAAATGGTAAAAGTAATGATAATAGTGGCAAGCAGGACTATATGATTTGGTAATTAGTTATTTTAAATGATTTCTAATAATAATCTGTTCAATTATCAATATTTCAGAACAACCTAAAAATAAACCACCCTCTCTATCCCTAAATTGTACCACGGGAGATACAGGACTGTTACAGTTATTTAATACACATACTTAAACTTATTAAAAGCATGCCATTGGCCTATTTCCTAATTAGTGACACTAATTCAGGTTCAGAATATATCAGTCCTTTTGCATTCCAAAAAAAAAAAAAATCACATCTCCAGCTTTTCTCTGTGCTGTAGACTCTGGAATAATTTTCTCTCTCTTTAAATGAATCATAATTGCAATGACTTCCTCGTCCTACCTGTGTTTCTCGATCTATTACCACATTCCTTTTCCGCAGAGAGAGAGGAACACCACTTACCTACGCCGCTGGTTTGTGTTGAAGGGGAATCTGCTGTTTTATCAGGAGCGTCCAGGCGATCGTAACCTGTTGGGTGTGATTGTTCTGGAGGGCTGCCTGGTGCAGGCGTGTGAGACGGATGGTCAGTTCTGTTTCTCTTTGGTGTACACTGGACCAGGCCTCCGCACGTATAGACTAGCCGCTGATGACCATCTCAGCCAGGAGAGCTGGATCGGTGCGCTGTTCTGCGCCAGTCACATCTACCTTTCCATGATTGTCAGAGACCTGGAGAGACGCTACGAAGGTGCGTTTATCTGTATGTGTTTTTTCAGTGTCTACTGGCTTGAAGACAAATAACATGTCTGATTGCATTTTTTTCATGCCCTCAACAAAACAGAAGCTAGAAGAGACAAAGGCCTTTGTGATTCCATCCAGACCTCAGCAGTAACTTCTACACCCAATAAGATAATGGCTTCCTGGAACTCAGGACAACCCTATTTCGTACATGGGACTTCCATAGTGCCCAGAGATGGGCGGAGCTACAGCACCAGTTCTGTACCACCTCCATCTATGCCGAACAGACCCATCAGCTATAGTCTTCATGCCCCTCCTATTCAATTCAAGACTACCAATAAGCGATCTCCAAAGCTCTGGCCCAAGAGAAATGCACATGTCACACCCTTAAATGGTCCGGCACCATCTTATGGGGAGTGGCCCGTTGTGAACTTTGATCCTTTGGAAGAGTTTAGTAAACTGCACGAGTACTATGGAAATGAGATTAAGCAACTAAGAGCTGATTGGCTGAAGAAGAAGCACAAGGAAGTGGCACAAGTCGAGGAGGACCTCATTGATCTTGGCTAGAGCAGCATCTGAATGCTTATGTCACATCTATGCATTTGTTCATGTTGTCGTCTAAATAGTAAATCTGGTTCTAAAACAATAGATTGATTAATGTATTAAGATGCAGTACTAGTAGAATCCTGCTGTCTTTTAAATTTTATGAAGGCCTGCAGATTAACACTGACTGACACTGATCTTGTGGCTTTTTTTTTTTTGATAAAACGTTTCTCATTTCCTCTCTGTGGTCTCTTAGCCTAGTTCCTTCTCGCTTGAACTGTCATAAAGTAGACCCAAACCGCCAGTAGCTTTACCCCCACTGTTAAACTAACTATGTGCAGACATTTACAATGGCAAAAGTTCATATTGGATCCAAAGTACTTCAGATACTGTCAAATGAGGTTTGATTAGAGACTAGACGTTAGTTGTAGAGCTGTAAATGCATGATAATAATTCATATTTAATTTATTGTTACATCTTTTAAAATATGTACTGAGAGAGCCTAATCAATAATGTGATCTTGTGAAGAGGGCGACACAAGTGACTGTTAAGTTCTGCCTCACAGACCGTGTTTCACACAGTTCAGGAGGTTTCGCAAACAAACTGAAATACACGCCCTTTATATTCTTCCTCTTTCACAACATCTCAATTCTTTGGGGATGTAGATGTGCCTTTTTTTGTAGTTTCTAGTGTACTCAACACATTTGGAATGTTAAACACATTAGAAGCAGCAGTTCTTTATATTACAGTCATATCAGTAAGCATCAAAATAAACTGTCATGTTTGTATCCATTAAGCATTTCAGAGGTGCAGCTCTTTATACTGTAGGTCACCAGAGGGCACTGCACTTCAACAGTACTACTACCTTTATGCAGCCCTACTTCAGGCACAGGGGTCACTAGTTGCTTCACAACTGATATTTTATTATTTAATGTTCTATATGTAATTATATTTGGATGATATCAGTAATGTTGGACATGTTTTTATTGTATAAATGTTTTATATATTCACAGTTTCTATATGACCACCTTGCTCAATGCATTGTCTTAATTGAATATAGATCAATTTTGTTATAATACATTTGATTTAATTCATTTTGATGATAATTTGTTTAGGTATACATTTGATTGTTTTATCTAGTATTTGTCCTCGAATGTAAATCATAATAAATTCTGTAAAAATAAGTTTAATTTAATGCTACGTTAATTTAGTAAGTTACATTTTGAGTGTATTTCAGCCCTGCATATTGCACAGCATCAGTAAGAATATTTTTTAAATCAGTAGGGTTGTTTGGTTTATTCAGTGTTAGTATCTATTTTATTGTACTTAATTCAGCTTTTGTTGTGAACTATTATATTATTGTATCAATCAAATTCGAATAAAAGTCCTAATAAATTGTTCTGTTAAGATCTTGATGTTATTTTATTTATTTTAATGTGGACAGATTCATCTTTAAATGTTGTGAGCAGATGTAACACAAAAATTCAGTAAAGGTAGATATTGTGGTTAGTATAATGATTCATGAAAACACGTTATGAAATTTTATAGGGATTCTGTGACGTACATCAGAGCTCTGACAACAAAAACCTAAAAACGCCTTAAGTGTTGGATGCAACATGATTTCAACCATGCCATCTGCGTTCTGCAGACTTCAGGTATGTCAAACCCCTACAGCAACGATGTGGCCTTTTTCACCTCTGCATTCCAGACGTCTCTGCTGTGATTAACAGCTTTGATGATACATGTCAGTAGATCACGTTACACGTAACATGTACTGTACGTATAGACATGTACACTTTGACAGTCCATAAACAAAACAAAGATGACTGACACAGTGGCCTACAGGCCATCCTGTGAAGATTCTAAATCACAGATGTGTACACAACCTGATCAGTCATCGGGCAGACATACTTGAAAAGGTTCTACAATGAACTTGTATTGTGTTTAAGAAAATCATTCTATTATGACATGAAATATCTCATATCAAGGCCTACGCTTCCTCTGACCCAGACTTTCCCTCCCCTCCCTGTTAATCTCTCTCATACACATTGAATGCCGTTCCACCATATATAGTTATAGGAGGGGTGTATTAATATCGCATATGCTATACTATATCTAATTTGAGAAACTGCCTAATCATTCAGCTGCTTTTTCAATGACCGCAAGAGTTATCAATGTAACCTTAACATTAAATAATTTACTAATGAATACATTATTATGCATACATATATTAGTTATTTACAGGAAATGCAAGAAAATAAAATGTACTGTATACTGTATAAGCATTTTCTTTTACAGCTTATTATTACCCTTTTAAGCTTATTCATTACAACTTACATTACTTTCTGACTTTAACAGTCTCTCGATTAAAAAATGCCACTCTATAAATAATTGCAGTTAAGCTATTCTATAGGGAAAAATAGCTGAAATGAACTATGAAAGATCTGGGCAAGATCTAGCCAGGGGAACAAAACACGTAAAGGACAGACTCACAAGGTATCGAATGAGCCTAAAGGAGGAAAGGAATGCAAAACAAACTGTGGCGTTGCTAGAAGTGGACGAGGAAGTGAATGATGGATTAAACAGAGAAGAAAAGGAGAGCTCAAGGAGCAGACAGGTTTGTTTTGCTATTTTGGTCACTCTCAGCCCCCGCCTTTCCGAAAGAACCTGTATTAAGCCTCAGATTTCCCTTCATGTGTGTCCCATACCAACCCCTCACTGGGCTGCATTGTGCTGCTGATCATCTCAAACTGAAAGAAAAGACGATAATTATGTGCCCATACACAGAGCAGCTTCACAAACTGCACCTCACAGTGACTGCAGAGTGACCGAGCATGGTCAAAGAGCTCCAGGGGGAGAGAGGGTGCTGAATTTGGGCATGGCCATGTGGCGGGGTGAGGTGGGGGGACTTGGACCCAAATCTTATGGCATCACTATACTAGGAAAGGCATTAAAACCTATTTTTGATTAGGGCTGATTTGGAAAGAGGTGACAAGGGTTAAGATGTTACATCGGCCTCATATATTTCAGATGGGGGCGTGTACTCATATGTGAACAAGATAATCATTAGCTCAAAAAAAGCCAATCATTGGCTTGAGTTATGCGATTGTGCAAAGCTCAAACAGGCCCTTATGTCTCCATGTCCTTATTAGTCTACGTGAGACACACAGACTGCTGCCATCAGTATCAGATTCATCCCATTCCAAGACTCCAATAGCTATTTCTGAGCACTGTAAGATGATAGTGCATCCCACCCTGTGTTCCTTCATCGCTTTACCCCTACCTCATCTCTCTCGCCTTTCATAGTTTTCCCTGTCTCTATTTCTTCCCTCTGTCTTTTCCCAAGCCACACTTAAGGTTGGATCTATAATTAGCAAGGGGCCTTCGGCAGTATATAAGCCCCCCAGGAACAAGTCACCACGCGGCTTCAGTCTTCACTTCTTGAGCTTCTTAGACTTCACGCATACCGTCTCTCAGCATGGTGAGTAACCTGAACCTTAGATGTTACCTGGCCACACCAACTAGGTGGACACATAGGAACCAAGGACATAATGCCTCAGTCTCAGCAGGGTTGAATGGAAGAGAGCTTGCATTCTGAATCAGCGTCTGATTCTTGGATAATTGAACTGTGGACTTATAATGCATTTAACAGGATATGATAAACTGGGCATTTTTTCTGAAGCTGTTCTTTCTGATCCTTTCTGAGTGGTTTTGCTTTCACTTCCAATGAAATATGGGATTTTTTTGTAATTATCTGTAAGATGTTAAATTAAAAATATATAGAATATTGCAAGTTTTACCATAAAGCATAATGTACAAATGTAAAGCTAATGAATTCAGTTATATTAATCATTGAGGAGCGACCTATGTAAAGATCATTATTTTGATGTATATCACATGTAAAAATGTGTTTCATTAGAATGTGGCTGAACAGGGTTTTATTAACAATAAATGTTAAAATGTGTTATGTTATTAATCATTGAGGAGCGACCTATGTAAAGATCATTATTTTGATGTATATCACATGTAAAAATGTATGTTTCATTAGAATGTGGCTGAACAGGGTTTTATTAACAATAAATGTTAAAATGTCTTATGAATGAGTCTTGTGTCTCTAAGCTCTGTGTGGCATTGCAATGTCAATGCATGATTTTCTGTTTTCTGTCATTATGTATTATTGTCAACAACACAGAGGAAATATGCACAATTCAGCTGTGCTGACTGTTAAAAAAATATTTTTCTTTCTAGTCACCCAAGAAGGCCAAGAGGAGGGCAGGAGGAGGAGAGGGTTCCTCCAACGTGTTCTCCATGTTTGAGCAGAGCCAGATTCAGGAGTATAAAGAGGTAAATATTTTTTCAGATCTTATAATTAATACAAGTAGACTCCATATTTTTAGGACATTATATACTGTAAATATGTTTAGTTACATTTTCACTTTTTTATGTATTGTCAAAGTCCAAATGAGATTTCTGGGGGTAAATGTTACCAGACATAGACCTTATCATAGATGTTGCTACTGAACTTGAATTCTGATTCTAATATGATCAAATTCTGTCATCAGGTTAAAACGTATTTGTATTAAGGCTTGTTTGATGGTCAATACAGCAAATGGACTGAATCAACAGATTGACATCATCTAGTCTTTTTGTGTTGTCTGCTAATATCCAAAAAAAGAAAAATGCCCCAGCCTTCCTCTTCTCTGCCCTCCCATCTGTCAGACACTCCTGAACTCCTGATCCCAATGGGATGGCAGCTGAAGATCATAGTGCATGCCAGAGGGACAGAAATAAATCATGTGTAACATATGATGGACAAGATAAAAGAGAAGGGAAAGTGGAAATGAAACACAGTTAATGAGGATTATGTTTAAGGGCCCTTTGCAGGAAGGGAACATTAAATACGTATTAGACTTCTGAATGGACCTTGAAATGACAAATAATACACAAAAGAAATACCAGAAAAATAAACAGATTTACCAGTAGTTGACTATACTTACGGCTGTTAGACATTGTGATTAATCTAAATTAATTTCATTATCTCAGACACCAAGTAAAAAAGTATGTATACGCACATGCTAAACGGGTGAGTTGACTGGAATTATCGTCAGGCTAGTGTGCAACTGAGCTAAGTAAGGATGTGAAGTGGTTTGAATGGTTTATTAATAAATGATACAGACTTCTCAAGTGCCTCTGCAGGAATGTCTGACATTTGGGATTGACTTAACACGTCTCCCAGATGGAAAGGAGGATCAGCGAGGGGGGCTAGGTGGGAGTTAGCAGCTGCTGCTATTCAAGCCCCTTCTTGAGTTTCATGTGACTGAGAAGGACGTTTTACTACTGCCAGGGAAGAGAAAAAGCTACAAGGGGAAGATTTCTTGTTAAATCAACTCTTTAGTCATTGGTTTGCAGCTGTGAGCAGCCTCATTTCCCACCAACTCCTGTAACAATGTGCTTTTTTCTGTCCTGCATGCATAGGCTTTCACAATCATTGACCAGAACAGAGACGGCATCATCAGCAAAGATGACCTTAGGGACGTGTTGGCCTCAATGGGTGAGTTGTGTCTTGTGTCCTTTGTAAATATATCCATGAATGTGTGCTGACCATCACTGTCTCTCTGTAGGCCAGCTGAACGTGAAGAATGAGGAGCTAGAGGCCATGATCAAGGAAGCCAGCGGCCCAATAAATTTCACAGTTTTCCTCACCATGTTCGGAGAGAAGCTGAAGGGTATGCAAAAGTCCCTTTTACTGGCTGTTTTCCCTTTGGTTTTCCAATCATTGTTGTATTCAGTCAGTGTAACTCACTCTCCGTGTCTCTGAAAGGTGCTGACCCCGAAGACGTCATTGTGTCTGCCTTCAAGGTGCTGGACCCAGAGGCCACCGGCTTAATCAAGAAGCAATTGTAAGCCTATTAACTCACTCTTTATTTCAATGTGCCAAAAAAAAAATCTACGTTTCCATGTCTGACTGATATTCGTTCTCGCTCTTTCCAGCCTTGAGGAGCTTCTGACCACTCAGTGCGACAGGTTCTCCGCAGAGGAGGTGAGATCAGATCTTACGCTTCATAGTTTTAAATCAGCATGAGATCTACTTTCTAAATACATGTTGTTAATCTTTTTGTGAACGATTCATCCATGCATAAGTTTCACTTTTTTTTTTGGAGCTCGTAATTTTTGATCAAAATGTATTAACTCGACCTTACAGTGAAATTACAAACTTTACCAATCATTTAGTCCATTTAAACGCTGCCCCTTTCTTACAATCAACCTCAAGCTCGCATTCAGATCTGCTTCCATCCAATCAACAACCGATGAACAGAATTAAGTCCCGCCCTACTTTTTTTGTTCTTCTTCAATTTTCCATTTCATTTGGATGTACGTCAAAAAAAAGATCTGTCGCTATTTCCGTTTCATTGCACCTTTAATATATTTTTCTGGATTAGCTGTGTAAAATGTAAATTTTTTAATGTTTATTTAATCCGAATTCTTTGTTCTTCATCCATTAGATGAAGAATCTGTGGGCCGCCTTCCCCCCAGATGTTGCTGGCAATGTTGACTACAAGAACATCTGCTACGTCATCACACACGGAGAGGAGAAGGAGGAGTAAACGGTCGTGGAGACAAGACAGAATATGAAGAGATGAACGTGTATCCCTCACTGCTTTACTCTCCCAGTCTGTTCTCTGTCCTCCTTCTCTTACTTTGTGCTTCTTCCTCCCTTTCTTCCTTTCCATCATCTTTGTTACTCTCAAGCACTTATCCGCCCTACTTTTTTTGTTCTTCTTCAATTTTCCATTTCATTTGGATGTACGTCACAATGCATTAAAAAAAAGATCTGTCGCTATTTCCGTTTCATTGCACCTTTAATATATTTTTCTGGATTAGCTGTGTAAAATGTAAATTTTTTAATGTTTATTTAATCCGAATTCTTTGTTCTTCATCCATTAGATGAAGAATCTGTGGGCCGCCTTCCCCCCAGATGTTGCTGGCAATGTTGACTACAAGAACATCTGCTACGTCATCACACACGGAGAGGAGAAGGAGGAGTAAACGGTCGTGGAGACTAGACAGAAAAGGAAGAGATGAACGTGCATCCCTCACTGCTTAACTCTCCCAGTCTGTTCTCTGTCCTCCTTCTCTTACTTTGTGCTTCTTCCTCCCTTTCTTCCTTTCCATCATCTTTGTTACTCTCTAGCACTTACTCTCTCCATCTCTCCAAAGACTTGTCTCGCAGAGGCTGAATTGGGAGGGTAGAGAGGCTCATGACCACGATGTCTGTCAAGTGGGGTTATGGGATTGTTTTCAATAAAATGAACATCATTTCTGTATCTCTCACACTCTCTCTTTCTCTCTGTTTCTCACTCATTACCCACGACCACCTCTCATGCATGAAAGTTGCTGCATCTTCTGCTGCTGTCTTGAGGGTTGAAGGCATCTATAGCTTCTGGCTGAAATCTCTCTCTAGATAAAGGTGGAAGAGTGCTCATTCTAAGGGAAAAAGAGGCAAGAGGGATTGATCTCACTCTATAATAGAGGAACCAGTCATCATTCTTGTTCTTTCCCCTGACAGCTGACTAAAAAAGAAAGTGAAAATTAGGGTTTTGTACCGAGAGAGCTTGGCCTCCTAAAAATGTTGCCAAGCTTGGAGGGAGTGAGAGAGACAGACCATCCAAGGAAGAGAGGAGAGCTGGGACTGAAAGAAAACATATCCTCTTCACTCCCTCTCACCCCTCCTCCTCACTATTTCACGGTCCATGTTTTTCTTTTTTATCTACCCTTTTGCTCTCTGGATCTGGGCCTGCTTTGCTCTGTCAGAAACTCTTCTGTAACCAATAAAAAGACACAAACTGTGAATAAAACATCTTTTTGTAATGCTGTGTCTGCTGGCTGTGTGTGATAGGCGGGATGAAACTGTCTCTTCTGTAATTATAGAGCATTGAGATGGTAATATAATTTAGATTACACAAGACTGCAGGTCTATGATGCAGTAAATCACAAGGGTGACCAGCAGTATATGAGAACATACTGAGAATATGCTTTCTGCTGGACAATGATAGTATTACAACTGCAATAATAGCATATCTGCTCCATCACAATTGCTTCCACATCAGTCCAAAAGATTTTTAATATTTTCAACATTAATTGCTCGTCTTCTAATTATTAAGAGAGAAAAAATTTCAAATTTGACCAAAAAAAAAGAGGCTTGTTTAAAACTGTGAATTTCTGATTTAACATTTAATCCAATACAATTGTTTTATACATTTATTAACTATTTATAAAAGCCCAAACTAAACGTCAAGTTGATGTAGATATTAAAGGTCTAAAACCAAAAATTGATTTGCTCTATTACGCTATCTATATATTTATTTATTGGTTTCGTGTTGTAATTTTGTAAAGCACAATCAAACAGACAACATAGCAAAATAAAGCAAGGTCATATAAGACAAGACCACCTGTCAGGGTTTATTCCTTACCTTCATTTGGCCGAAACAAACACTTCATCGACATTCTTCTATAAATCTCCTCGTTACATAGAAAAAGGAAAAAAAATACGAGTTTTAAATGATGATAGAATATCATGTTTCCAAAAGTAAACTAGAATTTATCAAGAGGTAATAGGACTTACCTCAAGAATTCGCGCCATTCTTTTTTGTATGCGCGCGCTTCTGAAGTCAGTGCGATGCGAGCAAGTTTAGGCTCATTTCCACGTAAGGTGCATTCATAAGGAATTTTAATAAACGTTTCATTTAACACCTCTAGTTAGCTGAGGAAACAAAAATAAATACATTTGGATATCCAAGCACATGACTCATGAATCACATAGACCCAAAACATCACAATTTTGTGGAAAGGGGACTAAAGTTAATTTACTGTATCACGATAGTTCCATGACACGTAAAATTTATGTCAATTACATTAACAAAAAGAAACCCACTCTTGAGAGAGATTTTAATATATTATGATTTATTATTCATCACAACAGTAATTAACTTCCCTCTTGAGTAGTTTTAGAACAACTGTCTTCATCTATGAATTTATTTCATCCTCAACTGTAAATGGTTTCATGTAAACATAAAAAACAAACATGAGACATACAAAGGACAAGATGAGAAAACTAACCTAAACACACTAAAATTAAAATGATTTAAGATAAATTTTACAACATACATTGGGTCATTTAGCAATGCAGAAATCCATAAGACAAATCAAACTACTTTACAGCCAGTCCCAGCTGTCTCAAGAGTGTTATTAAACCAACACTGGATGGCCTTGCATTAATTATTGGTGAGCAGTGTCCAAACCATTTTAAGTCCACCGGTCATGCACTTGGTTGGCAATACAGACAAGATGGTGTTAGTGAAGGTGGCCTGACAGGTGCAAAACCAGGTTTAGGCTAGTGCTTGGAACTTAGAGCAGTTCTTCAGGATAATAAGACATCCACTCCACCTTTCCTTCAACAGTTCCAGTGCTGCTGTCAGCAGTGAAGGTAGTTTGAGCCCCCTGGTGGCCACACCATAAATGTCAACATCTACATTGTGCAGAGAGTTAGGAACATAAAATTTGCATAGACATAATTTGCTTGCTTTCCATTTGAATAGTACTGCCTTTAGAGGAAGCAACGACCACTGAGGTCAGTGAGGGCACCACTGACAGGTGAGGCGGAGGTTTGACCCCCTGCAGTTGAAACTGAACAAGTCCAGGAAACACAGGAGACACCATTAAAACATTGACAGAGTATTTGGCTACCATATTGCAACCTAGAAACCACTTCAGGTCTCTTCTGTCTTGACAGAAAATATTATATATTGAGTAGGAGTCTAGTAAGTATGGTCCAGTCACCTGGTGAATGTATCAGAATAATTCATAATTCTGAGGGGTCAGTGGATTACGGTGGAGTTAAATTCGCCAGTGTTCACTTCACATCAAGAGTAACACTGTTTGGGTGAAGGTCGTGTTAAGAATGATATTTTACATGTTTAATTAATACATAAATGTCTAGCACACATTTTATTGATCCACTCCTTTTCTCTCACAACTCTTTGGGATCACTTCCCCCTTCGTTGGGACACATAATAATAATAACACTATTATTTAAAAAAAAAAAGATCAGAATGAAATAATAATCAGTATGAAATCACTATCTCCCATAACACAAATACTGCAGTAATATTAGATAAACTAGTGATTATAAAATGTCTAAAATAAATAACTGCTTGTTTTTGTTCTCCGGGATGTTGGGTGATGATGTGCAAAAAATATTTTTCAGCGCTTACAAAATAAAATAAAAATAAAATCCTGTGATTAAATACATCGCTCTCCTAAAACCAAGCTCACTGCCATTCCAGTCTACCAGGCCTCTGCATACTTGCATAGAAAAATAAAAAATCTAATCCAATAGGAGACTAATAATAGCTGTAATAGATAGTATATGGTTTCATCCGATTAAATTAATAGTTTATACATCATAACATTACAGCCTGAAGCCAAGAGCTTCAAAGGGCAAAGGTTAATGCTACAGTGCTGCACCAAACCCTTCCCGTCCAACAAGGTGCAGACTTTAGGAGTCATGTGAGCTGGATTAGAGAGTGCCCTGCATTAACAAACCGATCAAGGTTAGTGGTGAAAATCAACAGGCCTCAAGTGCATAAATTTATTAAAATTCTAGTCTGAACTCTACATCCATATTAACATCGAGATAATTAACATCAAACCACACAGATATCTGGAGTGACTGACACGCTTGGCAGACTTTAACGTTTATGTGATGCAATTTGTTCGAAAAAGAAGAAATCAAATAAGCTCTTGGGAATTTTTGGTGAGTCTGATGTAATGACAGATTGAGAGTCTTTGAGCAGAGATAGACAGGTACACTAATCATAAATAGTTTTAATTTTCTTTTAGTAATTATGTTAACTTCGATATTCAAAGCTTTTTTATTTTAAATACAGTTAAAAGTGGCTCTCTCCACTGTTTTAAAGGAGAACGTACCTTTCCCCCCAGTTCAATTTAGCTCCTCCAGTCCCCCCCAACACTTATCAGTTCCTCTTTCGAGAGCGCACCTGTAAAGACGAGCTCCTTTGAGAGACTGAAAAGAGAGAAGAAAGACGAGACCGGTCTGCAGCACGAGACTGTGACACGATTCACTACACTGCCAAGGCACAGACATACAAGAACACACAAACACACACTAACAATCAACAGTACAATGAATAAATAGGTCCTCCAGAGCACTCACAGATAAGTTATGACTAGCCACGTCAAAAGGGAATTTTTGGTGAGTCTGATGTAATGACAGATTGAGAGTCTTTGAGCAGAGATAGACAGGTACACTAATCATAAACAGTTTTAATTTTCTTTTAGTAATTATGTTAACTTCGATATTCAAAGCTTTTTTATTTTAAATACAGTTAAAAGTGGCTCTCTCCACTGTTTTAAAGGAGAACGTACCTTTCCCCCCAGTTCAATTTAGCTCCTCCAGTCCCCCCCAACACTTATCAGTTCCTCTTTCGAGAGCGCACCTGTAAAGACGAGCTCCTTTGAGAGACTGAAAAGAGAGAAGAAAGACGAGACCGGTCTGCAGCACGAGACTGTGACACGATTCACTACACTGCCAAGGCACAGACATACAAGAACACACA